ATTTCCATGTTTGCATCCTGATGGGCTTGACTCAGAGCTGTGACTCCAAAGGAGAGAGGTATTTCAGGGCACTAGGACAGCCCAGCCCCCACCCCACCCCCACTTCTCCAGGGCTGCCCAGTGCTCACATTATATGTTAGATAGACTTTCATTAAGATTTTGTGGGGGCAGGTGGAGTGGCTGAAGTGGTAGAGCGCCTGCCTAGCAAGTGTGAGGCTCTGCGTTCAAACCCCAGTACCACCAAAGTAAATAAATAAATAATAAATAAACAAACAAATAAATAAAGAGTTGATGGATGACTGTGAGTTAGAACTCCTGATTTAAAAAAAAATGTGGGACTATTTTATGGCCCTAGAAGGATTAAAATCCCAATGGTCTTCTGCCTTCCTTAATGATTCTAGAAGCCCATCATGCCCCTAAGCACTGTTGGAAGAACTCTCAGGGCAGAAGGGGGTAGAGGACCATTCTGCAGAGGGCTTGACAGTGCCACATTCTGGTCCTTTGGCCCCATGATGATGCTTGGATCTTTGGTCTTTTCTTTCATGATGTGTTCTGATCAGTTCTTTTCTACCTTTTCTATGAGTTTTGTTAGGATTCCCAGGGATGGGCCTTGGTATTTGTTTCTTTTGGGTTGAGCCCTATAGTGTTCAAGCTGTTTAAGACGTTGCATTGATGGCATGAATGTGGCCATTTAGTATCTTTGCTATTAATGTTTCCTTCCCAGAAGCCCTTATAGAAAGGTCACATTTCAGGCCTGTGGGATTCAACTCAATGCCCTCCAAGATCTCAGGCATCAAAAATCAGGCATTCTTTTCCTGATTCTTCCATCGGCAAACAATGGCTGAGGCCAAGTCATCACCTTCCCCATTTATACAGCATGAGGTAACACTGGATATCTTAAGAGCTCCTTCAGCTCTAACATTCAGAGATTCCTGGAGATGTAAGTACTTTCCACTCTCACAGTGTCAATCATTTTATTTTATTTTATTATTTTATTAAAAGAGGAGGAGGCAGAGTCCTGGCCCATCCATGGATCTCCCTTTCCCCATCCTTTATACTGGGGGGCATAAGACCCCACCCCATTTTATCAAGTTGGGGGCAGTGGTTGAGGAGGGTTGGTCAGTAATTTGTCCGGGGCATTAATGGGAAGAATAGCCTTGATGAGGATGACTGACAGTGTCATTCCTTTCTCTCCCTGGCCAGTTCTGGGACCGTGTGATCCCAGTGTTAACCTTTTGAAGGTAGATTGATCCCTTCTTGCAGAGGGAAAAGTAACCTGCCCTTCAGGTGCCTTCTATTTCATGTTAACTCTTCTTGCTCCAATTGAAACACAGGGCTCAGAACATTGGGTATTTATAGAAAGACAGTACGCTAGGCCAGAAGACCTGAGTCTCCTAACAGTGGCCACCACACCTCAGGAAGAAAGTGAGGCAGGCCTTGCTGATATCCTTGCCGATGGCAGACTCTCCAAGGTAGACATTCTGGTGGACAAGTTCAAGGTTGAAGTGGCCACAGAAGAAATGGTGCAAACCAGAAGAGCAAACATGCAGCAGCAAGGGAGGATGATCACAAGTCCAGAAGATTTTGAGCCAGTATGTGAGGAAGGCCCCCAGGTCATGGGAGTCCCAGGAGGGGCTGCCCAAGCTGCAGGATGCATGTTGGCAGACCAGCTCCTCGATGTCTCTGAGCTTAGGGTGGGCACCAACAAGGCACCCATCAGGAACCACTGTATCTCAGATGATCTGCTGGAGGGCCAGGTGGAGCTGAGGAAGGAGCTGGAGAGGGTTCAGACTATTGGAAGATCCACAGCTGCAGGGACCAGGCCAGCAGAAGTGGACGTTCCCTCTCCTGCCTCTGACAGGGGAGGACTTCAGTCCTTTCTACTGGACCCAGCCCACATGGAAGCCAGAGCTGACTCCAGCGATGAGACCGATATCTCCTTTGCAGAGAGGAGCTTCTACCTAAACTATGCAGAAAAAGACTCTGAAGATCAAGTCTTTCCTCCACCCATGGAGGAGAGAGAAGAGCACCTGAATGCCTTTTCTGGAGGTGAGACCAGACCTAAGCTGTCAAGGGAGTTCCCAGAGAACAGGAAGCTGAATTCCTCAGCCCCAAGGGGCTCTGTCACAGCTTCTGGCAGGAGCAAGGATGAAGCCTTCACAGTTTCCTCAGAGGAAGCGGCCAGGCTACTCAAGAACCATGGAAGATCAGATGACCTGCAGGGACCTTCTTCCGGACAGACTTTTGCTAAGGACTGGGAAGAAACACAGCAGGAAGTAGAGGGAGAGTTTACCCACCCAAGAGCCTGTGTGGCTGAAGAGGAAAATGCTACTCCAAGTGGAGATTTGATGGAAAAGGCTGAGAAAAGTCCCACAGCAAGATCAAAGCACTCCCCTAATGGAGGAAGTGGGGTGCGCTTGGACTCCCAGGCCTGTGCCCTCCTGCAGACCATCCCTCCTCATGTTAGGAGGCCAGCCAAACCAGACAGAGGCAACTTCCTGTCAAAAGAGATGGGAGTGGGTCCCACTGAGACTAGAGAACCTGAGATGGGGGACCACGAGGCCTCAGCATTTCCTCACATGGAGGTGGTCGTCCCACTGCCAGCCTCTTCTGATCACTTTGAAGCTCTAGCAGCTCTGGAGGAAGCTTCTCCAAGCCCAGGGCCTCCAGGGCCAGAGGAGCCTTCAGAGCTCAGGAATACCTTTGGAGATCAGTTCCCTGTATTTCTCAAACATGCCCCTCCTCCCAAAGAGAGCCCAGAGCCCAAGGATCAAGTCAGGTTGATTGTGCACCCTGACTCAAGAGCTGAGCGCAGGGCACCTCTGGTTTCCAGCAGAAAGCCCAGGATTGTCCCCGAAGAAGCTGAGGAAGTTGTAACCCCGGGCTTGGTGATCCCTTCAGGGAAGCAAAAGAAGATGGCTTCTCTTCAGGCTGGGGGCCAGGAGGGCTTCATGGAAGACATTAGCAAGACTTCAGTGGCCAACAAAATTCGAATATTTGAGACCCATGGAGCTGAGACTCGCCGAACCAGTCAGGGTGAAACAAGGGTCCTTCCAAATGAGTTGTCTCCAGAGTCCTCCATGAGACAGGTAGAGCTACAGCGGAATAAGCTTTTAGACCTGGGCTTTGTCCAGCTCCAGCCCCTGGGAGACTTGGCCAGCCCCAAAGCCGCACATTCCTCTATTATGCCGCTGGCTACTCGACACTTCGAGGAGGGCAAGTCTACTACATCTCACCAAGAAAGATGCACAGAACTGGAACTCCTATCCCCTGATTCAGGCTGTGAAACCACGCTGGATGAAGCCACTGGGGTAACTGGCCTTGTGAGCCCCTGCCGCGCCCCCCAACCTATGGGGGCTGACCGCATGCTGCGTAGCTCTTAGAAGCATGTGTCAGTGGCCCCTCATCATTCCTGCAATCTGAGGCTGCTTGTCCCTCCCTACGAGGTCTTTTCCCTAAATGGGCCTGAGAACAACCCAGGCTGAAGGATGGGGTCATCTGCTTGGCCCATGTTAGCTTGGCTACAAAGCCTCTCAGCTTTTGGTGTGACCCGATGCCCAGAAGGTCACACAGTTCCCATGGAGAAGGTGCCACCACCAACAACAAATTACACACTTGCTTTGCCTTGCTGCCCCCACCTGCTAGATTCCTACCTTTCTTGCTTGGCTTATCCAGTGGTCTTTCTTCATCCTTTCCCGTCCCTGGCCTTCTGCCTTGCCGAAGGCAAGCAGTCCAGAGGTTTCCATCCTGCACTCTGGTTCCTCCCGCTCGAGTTTCTTTCTACTTCCTTAAGACTAATTGTCTTCTCTGATCCAGAACAAATCCGAAGATGCAGTCAGGGAAGAGAAGCGCCTCATCAGCTTAGCAGTGAACGCCCCTGGGAAGGGGGGGCGCCTGAGATTCGCCAGCTCCCTGGGCCCACAGGTCTCTGCAGCCCCTCTGTGTCCTGATGACCCAGTCACCTTCGCCTGGCCGGGGTGCATCGCTCTTTAGAATCCCACCTGCTGCAGCAGCAACCCCCTGTGGCTGCTCAACTCTGGCTTGTCTGGAATGTATTCCTCACACCTCTCGCCCCTCCAGAAACTGGCTAAACAGAGGCCATTTAGCAAGTGAATCTCTAAGCACACTGAACCTCCAGAACCTGAATCTGAGTTTTTTAAAAAAATATTTTCTGGGTATTAGATTGGTCTTTTAAAAAAACATGTCATCAGCCAACCAAAAATGTGTGTGGTGTTTAATCCCTGACAGGCCAGTTGAGAGGTATGTATGGTGGACACGAGTGCTGGTTTCCTTAGCCATTTCCTTGGCCTGCTGTTGTCAATTACACTGATGGGACCAGAACCTCCTCTCCATGGCCTCCCACTCAGGGAGCTTAGGATGAAACTGGCGTAGTGCCCAGCTCCCAGGAAGATTTTTGCCCAGAGGGCCTGGCCCCTTATGCTCCTCCCTCTGGCTGATGCCAACCCCTCCTACAGAGATTCAGTGGAATTGACAGGTCATGCTGGCTCCCTCTGTGTCCCTCAAGCTCTTAGCTCTAGCCTTGCTGCCTCCTCTCCTGGGTTACCTGAATCCCTGGCCTCCCTTCTTAGTTTGTCTCTCGACACCGCCTGCACGGATGGGCCTGGGGTCCGGGCTTCCATCCCTGCCTTTTGCACAACGCTGCTTCTGACAGGCTCCTGGATCCAAGCCTTGGATGGGGCCTCCTGTCCAGGCAGGATGTTTGCTTTGTACTTGCTTTTGCCATCAGTGTGATACCCTCCAAAGGAGTATCCCCAGTCTTGAGAAGTTTTGTTTTGTTTTTTTAAACCTCGTTAAAGATTACAAAGAACCTTTCCTGGGATGTGTTTCATTTCCTGACTGTGCTTCCATTCACGGGACATCAACACAGCCCCAAGAGGAGTTCTGACATTCACCATCTTGATCTTTCTCTCTCTCTCTCTCTTTTTCTCTCTCTCCCCCCACCCCACGTCCCCATTCCTCTGATTTTTATCTGGCTATAGAGAGCAGGGCTGAGGGAGGGCTCGGAGGAGAAAGCCAAACCTCCACGCCCCCGGGCCCCAGAGAGTGACACAGGAGATGAGGACCAGGACCAGGAGAGGGACGCAGTGTTCCTGAAGGACAACCACCTGGCCATTGAACGCAAGTGCTCCAGCATCACGGTCAGTTCCACATCCAGCCTGGAGGCTGAGGTGGACTTCACGGTTATTGGTGACTACCATGGCAGCGCCTTTGAAGACTTCTCCCGCAGCCTGCCTGAGCTCGACCGTGACAAAAGCGACTCTGAAACCGAGGGCCTGGTGTTCTCTCGGGACCTTAAGGGCCCCCCCAGCCAAGATGATGAGTCTGGGGGTATCGAGGACAGCCCAGATCGAGGGGCCTGCTCTACCCCGGAAATGCCCCAGTTTGAGGTACAGTGGAGCTTTCACGAAGACCTGGCCCACCTGGCCACTGCATGCTCGGAGGGCCATGGGACAGAAGACGGAGCAGCCAGCTGCAGCCTGAAACTCTGTCTCGTGTTGCATGACTGCCCCTCCACAAAACAGCATGGTTCTGTGTCCGCATGTTTACCGTGTCGGTTTACCCCTAACATGCGCTCCTTGGCATTATAACCCTGTGACTCCATCACTTGCTGAGGTCAAGTGATGATAGCAGTCTGGTTTTTCTTGGCTCCTCATCTCCCTGCCTGTGTTGCATGGCACCTTCAGAGAGCATGTGTCTATGGACTCTCAGGGCTCCCATGACCTGCTCTGAAACTTGAATGGTTTTTCTTGATCCAGGCCCAGGCTTATCTCTCTGGGACCTGATATCCCTGGGAAGGGGTGTTAGTTTAAATCCATCAGGCTCTGGGGTCTGAGGGTGGTAAGTGAAAAGTTCTGGAGAACAGGAAATATAGTTATCAGGGAGGATATGGTGACAGACTGTGTCTGCACCTCTCTGCTTTGTGGCCTCGTCTGTAGAGCTGCAGAGCCATCTTTCAGAAACTTGTGTCTGTCCCTTTTATGCCTCTTCCCCTCACCTCTTCTACCCCACGTCCCTCCCAGGCAGTGAAATACTAGCTTGGGCTCTCACTCCATGCTGTACCCTCTGGGTAGGTTTTTCTTCTCTTTCTATGCCTTCCAAATGGACTATGATGCTGGACAGAGCTCAGATGTCAAACACTTTCCTGACTACCTTGGTGGCAGTATTGGCCCTGCTATGCCCTGCCCTGTTGTGTGATGCTTCTGCTCCAGCATCAACCAATGCAGCTGAGGCAGCAGCTGACAAATCTGCAGTCTCTCCAGGAGTCAGCTCCTCTACGCCTAGTGCATACTTAGCACCAAGAGATGATTAATTGAGCAAATGGCTAGATTGCCATCTACAGAATTCCCCCTCTGCCAGCTCCCCACTCCCCAGCTAGATGACAGGCTAGCATCCATTCCTCCAGTCACATGTGAAAACATGCAGTGGGTATAGCCATGAACTAGACCTGATGGAAAACTCAGGAGAAACTAATCATTTAGCTTAAGATTTCCAGAGTTGAGGTTGTATACTGGTTGTCTCAGGCCAGATCTGGTCATCAGATGAGTTTTCTTTGATTCTGACTTAAGTATCATGACATTGAATATAAAACTCAGGGTTTTCTTATCTTAAAAAAAATCGGGTGGTCCATTCTCAGAGTCCATGGTAACAGCTGGCCAAACCTGAGTGCAATCCCACGTGCTCTCCACTTGTCCTCAGCCCTCATCCAGCCCCCTCCACCTGTTACCATCTCCTGCCTGTCTCCTGGAGACCTCCTCTTGTGCTCTTGTGTGGTTCATGCCCTAAACAACAGTTCACATGAAGCAGCTGGGACATGGTGGCCTAACCATTGATGTCCTGACATTGTGTATATAAGGAAAACACTTAGCATGGGCCTTGGCACAGGAGACATTATTAATGGAGTTTTGAATATCCTTTTAACAGTACTCTAAAACAAGAGCCCCCTCCTGCTATGGTGTTGTACAGGTGATGGGGCAGGCCTTCCTGGTGCCCATGATTGCTCTGGCTCTCATCTTGGGCTATTTGTCTGTGACATCACACCATGCCTCTTTGGCCCTGATCCCCCAATGTGCTTTTCCAGAGACCTGGCCAGAGGTTAGGAAATAACCTGCAGACTCTGTACACCCATTACCTGTGAGCAGGAAGCATGCCAGGACTTGAGTTTCCAAGTGTTCCCCTTCATCTCCTTATAGCCTGTGAAAACAGAAACCATGACCGTCAGCAGCCTGGCCATCAGAAAGAAGATTGAGCCAGAGGCTGTACTGCAGAGCAGAGTCTCCACTGTGGACAGCACCCAGGTAGGCTTCCATTGTAGCTTGAGCATGGGGATTGGGTTCTCACTGCCATGGACTAGCTCTTTAGCCAGCCCTGCCCACCTTGGCTTCCCTGGAACCCCCATTTTAATCCAGATGCTCTTCTGAGCCTCAGTGTCCTTCCTGAGCTCTTGGGGCCAGAGGGGTGGGGAAGACCATACTTCTTCTTCTTTTTTAAATCTAAAATGTGTTTATTGGGATGGTTTTGGTTTCCCACTCATCTTGATTCAGGGTGCTCTTAATACTGCTTCCCTCTGAAGAAACATCCTTCTGTAAGCCTTGCTTTTCCTCCTGTGGGCTGGCAGAGGACAGTGGAGCAGCCAACACACAGAACTACTATTTGTGCGTGGCTGAAAACGTGATTTTATAGCATCCTGGGCATGTCACATCCATGAAGTAGGAATTGGGGTTCTGCACCAGGCACTTCTTGTGTTTCCTCTTCTCTTCTGGCGAGGAATAAAGAAGATCCTTTGCTAGAGGCATGTTCTCATTAGGAGGTTCTCACCGCCAGAAAGGCAAGACCATTCTTCTTAAAGTCTGAATTTCTCTATCTGGAAAATGGGGGTGATCCTGCTTCCTTTTCCTGGGAGTATTGCCAGGACTAATGGCTAATGGATTAGGGCCTTAGTTGGAGAAGTTTTTGCTAGTGGCTACTTAGAGAGAAAAGAGGAAGACATCCCAATCCCTATTTGGTCAAAAAGCTCACCCTAGGGCATTTTTTATACATGGAAGTTCTACATTAGATTGACAAATTGAACAAACTGAGTGGAGGGGAGACCAAAAATTGTTTATCTTAGCAAGATGAAGTACACAGGCCCACTGCTTTCTGTGTGTTTCCTGCATTCACTCTGTGGGTTTTAAACTTTGAAAGTTGGGGTTATGGATCTGAAAGATACCTCCTGCTTATTCCTGGCCAGAAGAGTTGCAGTGTGGAGGTCTTTCTTGTTCTGGTGACCTGTAATTTGTCTGAAATAAGGACTGGGGTGCAGCTCAGTGATAGGGTACTTGCCTAGTATGTGCAAGGCCCTGATTTGACCCTCAGCACCATAAAAACAAAAAACCTGAAATAAGACATAAACCAACAACATGGGCTACTTTGTTGCTTCCAGAATTTTCTCTCCCACTTTTATAACAATGCTAGTAGTCATGAATCTGCCTTATGCCAGTCAAGACCTTGAGTTCTGATTAGCTCAAGATGACTTTGGACAAGCAGCTTTTCCTCTTTGGCCTGCTTTGTTTTAGTAACTTGTATTTTGTTTCTGTTTTTCATTACAAAAGCACAAAAAAACCTAAAATGACTCCAAATTCCATAGCCCAATAACTTACTTATTAGCATCAAAACAAAACAACAAAAAGTTCACAGTTATAAAATTCAAATAGAACCAAATGAAATTTTTCTTACCGTGCCTCCAGAAAGAAATTATGCATATGTCGACATAGATACCTCCCAGTCTACATGCTTAGAATTTTTACATAACAGTGATAGAAGGACTGGTGGAGTGTCTCAAGCAGTAGAAGGCCTGCCTAGTGAGGCTCTGGGTTCAAAACCTAGTATCGCCAAAAAAAGAAAAACAAGTGATCAATCTCTTTCATGCCTTACCTTTTTTCTCAGTAAGTATTTTGGAGCTTACTTCTTACTTACATATATGTGCCCACCTTACTCTTCTTGGTCTCACTTAGAAAGCAAGTCCTCATTTATCTTCCCATCTCCCATCAGTGGACAGCATGGTGGCTTTTGTCTTTACAGTTAATAATCAGCCCTGAGGTGAACTCCGTGCTCATATTTCTTGGTGAACTTTTCAAAGGTTATATCTAAAAGGTGAATTCCTGTGGATTACTAGATCAAAGATTACATGCTTTGAAATTGGATAGAATTTGTCAATTTGTGTGGGATTACTTTTTCCTTCGTCCAGTAAAACTATTGAAATAAAGTGGAGGACCTGTGCCGTCCCTCTGTAATAGTCTGTGTGGGCCACACCCAGCGCATGCTCCCTCACAAAGCCTGTTGCTCTGTAACCCGGAGGGTCGTGAGCCCAGGTGACAGATGCTGTAGGTGTGTCTTGTTCTTTCCATCTGTGACAACTCCCCCTCTGTCCAGCAGGTTGATGGGAGTGCCCCAGTGGGGAAGGAATTCATGACAACTCCCGCCTCCATCACCACGGAGACCATATCAACCACCACGGTAAGTGAGGCCCAGGAGGCCTCCCTCTCTGACCTGTCCCTCACCTCCAAAGCCGCCAAGTAAGGAGCGGGACGCCATGCTGCATCTGCGGAAGGCAAGCATCAAACCTCTGTTGTCTGGTACCTCGGTCGCCCCAGGACTTACATCAGACTTCAGTTTTCCAAATTGAGTAGTCTGGGAGGTGGGGTCCCTAAGTCGCAGTAATTTGGACCCTCTTAGCCACACAGGGTCCAGGAAGTATGTTATGATTTGACTCTTGGCATGAACAAATCTCTCAAGATTCTGCTGGCAAATCTCACCTCTGGGCTAAAGAATCCTTTCCTTGGCCCTTCCTTTTGGTGGCATGATTCTAGTGTGTGAGGCCACCTCCTGGCTGTGGTCAGTAGATGGCAGCAGTGAACCTGAGTTAGAAACCCAGGATGTTGGATACCTTCCAAAGACCTTGAGGTTCTGCCACCTATTTGTTATCTGACCCATGAAGGAAGGTCCTTGGCCTCAGGTGTCTCAGTTGTAGAATGGAACCAATCCTCACGCTGCCTGGTTCACAGGTCCTTGAGAGACTCCTAATGAAGTAGAGCGCTGGCGGAGTGGCTCAAGTGGTAGAGTGCCTGCCTAGCAAGCATGAGGCCCTGAGTTCAAACCGTAGTACCGCCGAAAATAAATAAGTAAATAAATAGTAGTGAACTAGAACAGCTAACATTCGGCACACAGGTTATGGTGCCAGGCAATGAGCTGAGAACCGTGACTGGTTTATGAAGCTGTGAGGTGATGTTCCTCCCTCTACATCCTTTACAGATGAGGAAACTGAAGTTCAGAGAGGGAAAGTGACTTACCCAAGGTCACACAACCTTGGTAGTGGTAGTGACAGGTTAACCCAAGGCATTCTGACACCAGATGCCCTGCTTTCAACATCAGCCACTCTGCTCTGCCGCCATAACCTGACCTTTGAGATCATCAGCCAAATGGGACTGGAACTGGGGCTGGGGCTGAGACTAGAGAAGTTAGCAGTGCCTGATCCAGACCTTTCTTAAGCTGTTGAACGCTGTTTTCAAATGCTTTCTCTTGCCAAACCCCTGACATACACATGAGACAAGACCTCCATTAATTTAAACTCCTTATCAGGTAGGTTTTGAATAAACAAAGACTTTAGGATCAATAAACCCAAACCAGTTACCTTCTTGCATGTTTTTCCCTGGTTGCTCAGTTCCTCTTCTTCCCCCAAGCTGTCACTGTGGGGCATTGGAATGCTTATAGGGCTAAATTTAAATTTGTCCTTATGGTGAGTAGGCATTGTATCATTCATTGACATCCATCCATCCATTCATCCGTCCATCCATCCATCCATCCATTCATCCATTTGTTCTAAAAACACTGATGAGTCTCTACTGTCTACTTGGAACTGGAATATAGAGTTGAAGAAAATACCCCACTTGTCAGGGTTCATTTATTCAGTCATCATCATGAACACCTGTGCCCCATATGTAGGTCCTGGGCACACAGTGGTGAACAAGGCCCAGTTCTCCCACTTCTTGGCTGGATGACTTTGGACAACTCACCTGAATCTCTCCAAGCCTCAGTTTCCACTTCTGTAAAAAGGGGTGGGGGCGATAATAGCACTTACCTCAAAGGGTTCATGTGTGGATGAACTAAAGTAATCTATGCAAAGCCCTACAAACAATGCCTGGCACAAAGTAGTGGTCTGGAGGTGTGAGCTGCTGCTGTTTCTTTCCTGCTCTCATGTAACAGTGCAATAAAGGTGGCCTAGGGACCACTGGGAGGATGGCTACTGGTGATACTGCTGCCAGGAGGAGCCGAGGAAGGTGTCACCTAGGCAGGGACTGTTGCACTGTGTGTGAAGGATAGACTGAGGTACTGTCACAAGAGAAGGCGGTGCAGGCAGTGGAAAGGCAGGTGTAAGGATGGGAGTGTGAAATAGCACTGCAGGGAAAAGCAAGTGGTTAGCACAGCCAGATGTCAGACGTGTGCAGGAGGGGCAGTGGAAGAAAGGCTGGAAGGAAAAACTGCACCAGATCTTGAAGGTCCTCCAATGTCGCATACAAAGTTTGAACCTCACCCTGGGGACCATGGGGAATCATAGTTTTAAAGTAGGAACGTGATGTCATCAATTATGCGTTTCTGTGCTTTCGAAAGATTAGCAACTTGTGTGGAGCATGGACTGCAGCAAAAATTCCTTCCCTCTCCCTCCATCTCTCCCTCCCTCCTTTCTGCTTCTTTCTCCCTTCAATAAATATTTATTGAACACCCACAGTGTGTGAAATGCTGTGCCAGGCACTGTGAGTCTAGCACTAGAGAAGACAGCATCCCAAGCTCTGGGGCCCCACTAGGAGGGGCAGAGACAGAAGGCAGGGACCAGCATAGGAGCTGGTGTCATGCTGCGGTACAGACCAGGAGGAGGAGGTGGATGCAGACGAGAGCTCAGGTTAGGGAGGCCTGGAGGAGGAAAGTGCAGGATGCAGTCACTGGTAGAAAGCTCAGGAGACAGGAGGAAGGATGTGCTAGGGATGGTGCTCACTGGCCAGCTGTTCTCAGCATGGTCTGAGTGCCTGTAACAAAGGCAAATTTCAGACCCCACTTCAGACCTCTTGACCCAGCTCTGGGGCATGCAGCAATCTGCATTTTCACAAGCCCACCAGGTGGTCTCTCAAGGCTGAGAACCACTGGTATAAACAATGTAAGAGGAGAGCCTCCTTGATGTGTTGGAGCAAAGGAGGTAACCAGTTCCACTGAGAATCTGATGAATATGAGATGCCTGTGAGACATTTCCAGGAAAATGTTCGAGGACAGTTGGTTTTGAAGGCCTAGGATTCAAAAAAAGGTCTGGGCTACAGATAAAGGGCTAGGAGACTTCGGCCTCAGTGAGGCAGCTGAAGCCCTGGAGTGGTGGAGGGTGGCAAGTGAGGAGAGCCCTGAGTGTGGAAGAGGAGAGACAGTGGAATGGCCTTGGCCAGGGAGCAGAACTGTTCCTCCTTGAGGCAGGAAAGGGGCCAGGCTGAGGATATAGCAGGAGGAGGAGATGGTACCTGTCCTTTGAACAACCTGTGTTCCTGTTAGTAGCTTCTGTTTTCAATGTGAATGTGGAGGCAGGGCTTGCCCTGGGAAAGAGGGAGCTAGGAGAGAATAAGAGGCTTTAAGAGAGAACAACTTGAGTGACAGTTGTATGCAAAGGGCTGTTGGTAGTTCCCAAGCCAAAGAACAGAAACACTGAACCCAGAAGCTGCGTTCAGATTGTGGGACCCCAGGTGCCACTGAGAAAGTGTCTTGTGATGATGTGCCAAGTGGCCAGTCACAGCCCCACTGGATGCAGGTGTGGGGGGAGGCGGGAAAAAAAAGAGGGTTTACCCCTTTGGCTCACAGACAAGAGTCCAGATCCAGTGCCATGCACAAATCAGGACCAGGGTTCAGTCAGCAGAGGAACTGCAGAGTGGGCAGTCCTGGTCCCTGGACAGACAAAGCCTAGTCCTGAGATGGTGCAGAAGTTGGAGGTAGAACAGAACTGAGCCCCTGGGGCACTAAGTCCAGGGACAATTCCTGGAAGATCTAGCAGTTAGAATCAGGTCGGACCAGGAGAGCTGGCTCAAGAATGAGAGTCCTGAAGGCACAGTGGTGGTATAGACCGCAGATGCCTATTGTCCTTGGGGGTACTTTGCTGGGGGACTTGAACAAGATACTTAGTTTGCTTTTACCTTCCCGTGTCTACAAAACAGGAATATTAGAAATAACTTCCTAGAGTTGTTATGAGGATGGACTGAGGTCATGCATGTAACAACCTTAGTACAATCCCTAGCCCACAGCAAGTACTTGTGGCTATAATATTATTCATCACCAGCCTCTGCTGCTATGTTTATCCTACAGCCCTTTCCCTTGGGCAGGGGTCCCTTTTAACCGATGACTCCATGAGGCCCATAGGGAGGAAGCGGCTCAGCCTCAAGTCATACAGCTAGAATACAACAGGGCCAGGACAGGAACCTGAGTGTCCCAACTCCTCTGTTAGTGCTTCCAGAGAGCAATACCATGGCTTGTTCACCACAATGTCCCTAATCGCCAGGCACTCAGTAAATATTTGTTGAATGGTGTGTTGAATGAATGAATGAGTGAGTGTGCACATGTGTTTGAATGAGCAAAGGGGATGAATAGAGAGGGGGGCCCACCCACCCGAGACCTGGCCATCTGAGCACTATTGTTTTCCCAGGAGAACAGTCTCAAGTCCGGGAAGGGGGCAGCTGCCATGATCCCAGGCCCACAGACGGTGGCCACGGAAATCCGTTCTCTTTCTCCGGTAAGTGGGCAGGGCCAGCTCAGGCTAGAGGACTCCCAGCTGAGAATGTGGGCACAGAACTGCACACAACTCACAGCAACTGCAGCAATGGGCCCATGAGGTGCCCTTTTAGATGCAGAGCCAGAAAAGAGGATGGCTTTCCAATGCCCGCAAGCTGCCTGGTGCCCACCAGAGTGTCACCCCTTCATGCAAGCAGTGCTTTGGCAGTGAGGGAGTAAGTACCCTCCCTCGCCCACCATTGCATCTACCTTCCTTACTGAAGGAAGAGCAACTGGCTAGGAACCCAGAGGCTTGGATTTTGGGCAGGCTGTGTTGGTTGCTGCCCCACCCATGACTCTGAGTCTATCACTGTAAGGTCTCTTTTAGCTCTTTGATTCTGTCTGTTGTTCTCATGGTCTAGCCCTAAAGAGAGCACATGCTCCAGGATGTGACAGGACAGGGCATTGAGAGTGCTCTGTGTCCACCTTGGACCCCTCTGTTCATTCTTCTAACATTCCAGGACTCTCAGATTCTAGGGTGGTTTTAGGATTCTGGGTCTTGGGAATGTCAGGTTCTAGGAATCTCAGGTTTCTGGGTTTGAGAATGTTACAAGCCTAGGATTCAGAAGATTTCAGTATTCTTGAATTCTTGATGGTTCAAAGTACCTTGACTTCCAAACTTCACCTTCAGAGGGCGCAAACTTGGTGTCCCTGGGGCTCCTTAACCCTGCCCACCATGTAGAGCCCAGTGTCCTGACCTGATGTCCGGGGTGGGGGTGGTTGTATTCTGCAGATCATCGGGAAAGATGTCCTCACCAGCACCTACGGCGCCACTGCGGAAACCCTCTCAACCTCCACCACCACCCATGTCACCAAAGTGAGTAGCAGCAGGCATCTGGTCCCAGGGGGCTGCAGGAGGGAAGGTCACCACCATGGCTCAACTTTGGCATCTCAGTCTGTAAGGCAAACAAAGGAGCTCTGTGGCAGTGCCAATTTCTAGAGTGCTGTGCACTTTGTCCTGTGCTGCAGTTGTCCTAGGCCCAGGCCCTGCACTCAGTGTTCACAGCCAGGCTGGGGGGACGAGACCCTGTCCTTCAAAGTAACTGTGAACCATGGAGTTTGCAACTTACAGACTTTCAGGGGGTGATGTGTAGGAAGTTCCCCAAGACTCAGGAATCTTCTGGAAAAAGTAGAATTTGAGCAGAGTCCTGGGAAGCCAGGTAGGGTACCTGATAGAGAAGACAGCTGCAGGTGCTCTAAGCAAAGCAGAAGGGGGAGCAGAAACTGTGCGTGTTCAGTTTGTTCATTGAGCAAATGCACTGAGCATCAGACGTATGCTGGCCTCTGTACCTGGGGCTGCTTGGCATAACTGAGGTGTGTTTGTGGGTAACAAACACAGTTCTTGCAGAGCATGGAACTGGGGGATTAGGCTGGACTTGGAGCAGAAGAAGCAGAATATGAGGCAAACAAGACAGGTACCAGGGCAAATTTGTCCATGGAGGACCTGAGTTTAAGGGAAATTGGAGAGCCAGGAAGGTTTTTAAACTGGGCAGTGGCACAGTGAAAACAGGCTTACAGAGAGAATATTTGGTCCACCAGGAGGTGCAGACAGAAGGCAGAAAGGAGAATTATGGAGAGAGCCTGTTAAGAACTCAAACCAGAGGAGAGAGGCCTGCCTGGGACCATTAGCTGTGGTGCAGCCAATGAGGAAAAAGGGTTGGGAGGCAGGCTGACCATGCATCCATAGCTGAGTGGCCAGGAAGAAGAGGGGCCTGAGGAGCCAGGCTGAGCCCAGTGATTGAGTTGGAGATGTAGCTAAATCATTAAAGGGACGTTTGGTCAGTTGCACTGGCCCTTGTTGCACACAGACTCTGTCCTGGCCCTTGCCCACTCTCATGCAGGACTCAGGACTTTGTCACATTTCCCAGGAAGAATGCTGTCTCCAGAACCATCAGTAGATAGTGTTGATGTCTCTGCAAGCTTTATGGGAAGGTTTTACATCACGCATCCCACAGCAGACAGCTCAGAAAATGCTCCTTCTCAAAATCCCTCTTGTTCCCTGCCACCTGGGAGTTCCCTCTTCTTTCTGTCCACCCTGCCTAGCTTCAGCTAGGATTTCCCTCAGCTATACCTTCCTTAAATATGTCAGACATTTCAGTCCTTCCTGGTCTTCTACTTCTAAACTTGTACCCAAATCCCACCACTTGAGAAAACTGGAGGCAATAAGTATCATCAGTCCAATCTTCTCTTGTAGTATTGTTTGAAGTCATTTAAGATAGAACCTTGTCACCATTCACATTTCATTCATGTGTTCATTCAACAAATCTGCCTTCAGCACTGCCCTGATCATATTGGGCAAGGGAGTGGGGGAGGAAGGGATACAATGATGAACAGAGTACAGGCCCTGCCCTCCAGAGCTCTCAGCCTGGAGGTGAGCAAGGCCATGTGCACGCAGAAGGTCAGAACTAGGTAGAGGCCCAGAACCATGAGAGATACAGACTCAGGATAGCCTCAAGGCACTGGGGAGGCACCATCTAAACTGGGCTTGGAAGACCTAGGTGAGGCAGTTTGGTAGCTTGGAATGGTGGCAAGCAAGCAAGAATACTCTCTGAAGTTCCAAAACTAGGAAAGGAAAGAGCTGAAGTACCAGGCGAGAAGGGACCTGCTGGTTCTCAATCTTGCCCTTGAGAGATGCTTGGGGTAGATCCCCATGGTAGCTGCTGCCTCAGCAGACCCAAAGGGACCTCACCTTCTACTTCTTTTCCATCTCCCTCTCCCTCTGCAGACTGTGAAGGGAGGGTTTTCTGAGACGAGGATTGAGAAGCGAATCATCATCACTGGGGACGAAGATGTTGATCAAGACCAGGTATGGGGATAGGAAGTGTTATTCCCAGTGGCACTGCCCAGTCTCTAGTCCCCGCTATAATTGGTGACCTTCTGGGCAGGAAAGGTATCTGCTTCTTGTCCCCAAGGAAGGGACATCTGATGGGGGCCAGAAGATAAGAGCTGTAGTCTCTCCTTCTGACTGTTTGACTTTGCCCTCCTCCCCAGCCTTAGTCTCCCCAGCTGTGCACTGGTTTGTGTTCTCCAGTTTCTCTCATATTCTCTGTTCCATGGTACTTCACTTTGCTGTTCTACACCAGGCCCTGGCTTTGGCCATCAAGGAAGCCAAACTGCAGCATCCTGACATGTTGGTAACCAAAGCTGTTGTATACAGAGAAACAGACCCATCCCCGGAGGAGAGAGACAAGAAGCCGCAGGTAAGGCTGTTAGGCTCAGTTGTGAGGGGAAGGAGGAAGCAGTAGCACAGTCCTCAGAGGATCACTTCCACCTAAGGGCTCAAATGACTTGATGGTGTAGCTGTGACCCTTTGCCTGCCTGTTTACATTCAAAAGAGACAAGCAGCTCCCCCAAGACACGAGACTGAGGGAGGAGGGGAAGTAAGACTGGCTCCTTGGTTTCTTTGGGGTTTCAGGCCCCAGACCTAGAAAAGTGAATCCAGAAGTGGTAAGAAGTGTCAGAGAACTGACAGTTAGGAGTGAGGTGGACAGATGGAGGCACACCTCATTTAAGCTGGAAGTCAGAAAAAGTCCTACCAGGCCCAGTGCCATATTCCTGTCCCTGAGACTCTGTCTCCATCACAGGTCACTGGATATTGCTAAGGGGACTTAATGCCCAAAGCCCTCGGACCCATCTGCCTTGCTTGATTGAAAACCCTTGACTTCTCAGATTAACCCAGACCAGAATCTTAGGGGCCTCAATATTTTCCCATTTCATTGAAGGCCACTGAGGCCTTGGTAATAAGAGGAATGAGGTAGTGTTGGGGCACATAGGGCTGTAGCAGTCTAAGCTGGGGAAAAGTGTCTTCTGGCCCCTCTTACCAAATTTTATCAAATCTATAAAATAAAATCTCACAGAAATTGAGTGAAATAAGCAGACGTAGGAAGTATATTCTGCAGGATTCATTGGCAGTTCCACTCATTGAATGTTGAAAACCAGGCAAAACTTTTATCCCAATGCTGATAAAACTTAGAATACTGTTACTTCTAGGATATGGTATAGACAGTGAAGAACCACAGAGGAACCTTTTAGGGTGCTGGAAATGTCAGTATCTCCAGCTGGGTGGGTTTGCATGGGTGTACACACATCTAAAATGATGTCAGCGCTGGGGATGTAGCTCAGTGGTAGAGCACATGCTTAGCATGAGTGAGACTCCAGGTTCAGTCCTCAACACACACACAAAAAATTGTCAAGCTCTTATTAATAGATTTGTGCATCATACACATTTTGCACATTACACTACAGTGAAAAAAAATCCACCTTAAAGATCCCATAAATAATAGCTGGTCTCCTTTTTTCATTTTTCCTTGAATAAATGAAACCAGTGTTTTCTAGAATGTCTCTCTTCCTTTGATTACCACCCCCTTCACGTCAGAAGAGAAAGTGATGAAACATTTAGCTGCTAACCACTGGTCTAGACCAGTCCTGTCCAACAGAACTTTCTGCAATGATGGAAATGTTCTTTCTGTGCAATATAGTAGCCACTAACCAAATATGATGAGTGAGCACTTGACGTTGGCTAATCCAAAATGAGATGTGCTTTAAGGGTAAAATGCTTACAGGATTTTGAAGATTTAAGATTTAATACGAAAAAGTACTGTAAACTATCTCAGTAATTTTTATATTGGTGACAAGTTGAAATTATAATGGGTATACTGTGTTAAATTTTATATATATGAAGTTTAACTTTTTAAATTTTGAAATAAAAAATTTCTATTTATCTAAACATGCGTAGAAGAAATAGAGATATCTAGACAATTTAGGAAACGCTATCTAGAAAATCCATTATCTAGAAAAGTTTGGATTCCATGTGTAGCTTGCATTCTGTTTCTGCTGCACAGTGCCAGTCTAGAAGTGTGAGTTGGCTGTGGGAGGAGCAGGCTTGTCAGCCTTACTTAGTCTTTGATCCAAGTTATTGTCACTCTTGTCCCCTCAGATGTCTAGTCATTCTTGCTGCCCCTTCCTCCCCCCAGTTCTTAGAGTGGTAGAGGGCAAGTCACTTGCTAAGCTGGTGCAGACATGAACTCATCTCCTGGGGATGCTTGTTTAAAAGAGTCTTCATTTACACCTTGGTCTTTAGAGAGTCCCTGTGCAGCCAGGCATAGGAGCCACTGGTGCTAAGAGCCCTGTCCTGGGAGTCCGGGGATCTGGCTCTGTAGCCATTCCACTGATCAGTGTGGAACCATGGGTCAGTTTTTCCCTCATGGGGATTCAGTTTCATAACTTTCAAAGTGAAATACTGGGGTGATCCCTCATGCAGCTGTTTTCCTCTGGCTGTGTGCTTTCCTGGGGTTTATGTTGTGTGTTTCTCATTACATCTCCGTTCTCTCTCTCACTCCACCTCATCTTTCCCAGGGCCCACATACTCCTGCCTTCCCATTTCCCTGGTCATTCAGAGCTCTTTTCCCAACCTCCACATCCAGTCTTCCTCACCACCCTTGCAGTCTTTCACATCTGCCCCCTTACTGTTTCCTTTGCTCTTTCCCACCTCTTCAGTTCTTTCTTTGATGCCATTACCCCACACACTACCACGAACCTTCTCTCTCTTCTGGATCACTCTGTTTATGTTGCCCTGGAAGGCCAGGAATTTTTCCCTTTCTTTTTCCTCCCACATGCTTCACCATGAGCTATCGACAAGTAGGAGCCACCCCTGACTCTTTTTGGAATCATACCCATTAATTTTGGGGAGAGGTCTCTGAATTAGGAAAGTCCACCTTAAGGTGCTTGAAAAACATTGCCTTGTGGATAGACACATCTTGGTACCCCAAAAAAGAGCTCTATAAGTCCCATAGGCCTGGATTTGAATCTCAAACCCTGCTCGTTATTAGTTCTGAGACTTTGAACAAGTTATTTGACCTTCTCAGCCTATTTCCTCATCGACCAAATGGCGATGACAATCATAATGATAACAGTTGCCATCATGTATTGAGTGCCTACACTATGCAAGGCACCAGGTTATACACTCCATGTAAGGACTGTTATATGCTCATTGATTTTACAAATGAGGAAACTGAGGTTCTGAGACATTAGGTAGTTTGCTCACAACCATGGAGCTAAAATATGATGGATTGATTAGCCAGCCAAACCAAATCCAAAGTCACCATATGGCCTTACCTTCCTGAACACATGCTTTTCCATAGTCTATATTTCATAAGATTGTGAATATCATACATATATGGTAGGTAGCACAGTGTTCTATTAAGCACGTAGTAAGTGCTCAATTAAAGTTCATCCTAACTGTCATTACCATTAACTCACAGTAGGCTAACAAATGCTGAAGAATATACTGTAACACTATTGTTTAGATGTTCCTTGGCCCACCTCCTTCAGAGAAGGAGTGTTTGCCAAACACTGTCAGCAAGAGGGAGACACCCAGCTTCCTTTTTGACAGCTTTATTAGCACTTGATCATGTGTGAGAGGCAAAAGGCAGGAAGGATATTCCATGTGCTAAGTGGTTTTGAGTAGATGCCATATTTCAGGCACTGTGTGGGGCACTGCAATGACAAATATAGGTAAAAGGTAGCCCTTACCCTTAAAGTAAATCAACAGCAAGAACAATAGTAATAATAAGAAGAGCCGATGTTAATCCAGCACTTACTATACACTAGGCCCTTGTGGGGCCTTCTCTTTATAACTGCATAAGGCAGGACACAAATTATAGAGGAAGCAACTGAGGCGTAGAGAAGTTGAGAAACTCACCATGATTACAGAGCTAGCAGGTCAGGGAAGGAGATTTGAGCTCAGGGAACCTGATGTCAGAGTCCACACCCTTAAACTCTGAGTACTTGGGTCAAACTCGAGTTAAAATCCAGGCTCCAGTTTCTTGATGTAAAACAGTCAGAGTTTAATCTCCAGGCCACAGAAAACGCATGGAGAGCAAAAAGGAAAAGCAAGCAAAGCCAGAACAACTGCAGTTATGATGAAGCATTTCATAGAACTGAGGAAAGATGGGAAGAAAAAGTGAAATGGTTGTGATCTTAGCTTCTCAGAATTAAAGGATATTTTAACAGATTTTCAGGCCAAAGAAAAGACACCACTTCCTTAGAAACAAGCAAATGCACATGGAGTCAGGCAGCTGTGGGTCAGCTCTCAGCTGTGTCACTGTATCTCTCTCAGCCACAATAAAGGGCATCCAGTAAAGAGTAGCTACAAGAAATTCTTGCCATGTATTTAAAGGTCAGTGACAAAATCTACTAATTTTCCTTGTCTTCCTTCCTTTGCACCCTCTTTGCCCCACAACCCGCTTTGGCTCCCAGGAATCCTGACCTCCGTGAAGAGATGCTGGCGTGTCTGGTCCAACCCAAGCCAGAGAACCATTAAGAAGGGGCCTTCATTGTGGATTCTCCAACACAACACCGATGTCCCAGCTGCGACATACTGTCACTGATGAGAGACTGGGAAGGGAAAAGCATATATATATATAGATATATATAGATATAGATATATATACAGGAAACACCGCGTCCTTGCACTGCTGCTGGGGCTGGCGGAGCAGTCAGCTGATGGCAACAACCAACATCTGCAACAACCTACATTTCCTTTGCAGACACATTGAAGAATTGGTGGGATTTTTTTTTCCAGGAAAAAAAAACATATAACAACCATCCTCCCTTGCTCTCCCCTTCCCCCTGCTGAACCACAAAAGCAGACCACGATGATTGTAGAAGTCCCATTCCATCCTGGGTGTGCAGGGTCCAGTTAGTGGATTGTTTGTTCTCAGCATCTGTGGGCCTCTCAAAAGCAAAGGAAAACTGTCATGCAGCCAAACAAGAAGTTGCAGCAGCAAGACACGCACGCACAGTCAACCATTTTCTGAGAAAGAAAGAAAATCTCCCACGTGGAAAGGAGGAGGAGGAACACTGGATTATTATTTTCTGGGTCTTGACACTGGGCTGCAAAATCCACCTTTTTTTTCCGCCTCCCCTCACCCTCAACTCTTACACGTCTTGTCGTCATTTTCTGTCTCAGCTCCTCTCCCCCACCCTCTGCTTCTCCCCCGTGTGTCCGGGCCTTGCTGAGGGCCACTTCAGATGACTCTCATTTGAAAAGAGAAAAAGCAAAGGAAGCAAGAACAGAAAACGAAGCCATGGGAAGGGAAGTAGACATTGTCTGTTTCTGGTTTCTCATGATGAAGGTGCAGCTCGTAGGAGATGTGTATGGATGTGCTTTTAAGTTTTGTATATTCTATATAGCAGGAAACAAGTATTAAAATAAACAGTGCTGGTAAGTATGAAGCTGACATTCTCAAGTTAAAATTATCAGACTGTGATTGATGTATCCCAAGGTTCCTAGATCTTGCTGAACTGGCCCAGCTGAGGAGCTTGGACTAGGTATGGTCAGCTCCCAGTAGGGTGAACGGGTTCAGTGTAGTAAAACTGTGTGGTGTTTGTAACTGGGTGATTGGTGGGGAGAGTGAGAGCCCCCCCCTGCCCCGTGGAGAAGTGGGGGTTCAGCAAGGAGGAAGCAACACAGATATAGTCCCAAACAAGCTGGTCTGAAATGCCTTCTCCAGAGCTTGGTCTGTGCTCAGACATGGGGTTGGAGTCAGAACTCTGCAGCTGAGGCTGTGGAGTGGAGGTCCCCTAGCTCAGTCCTCCTACCTCCCTAGGGGGCTTGCCTTGGTTTTCAGTCTTCTCCTTGTTTGTTTTATTATTATTATTTTGCCACATCTTGCTCTTTCCTGACCACATTGTGATGACTAGCTCCATACCCTCAGGAAGGTGGTACCTCGGCCAAGGTAAGACATGGTGGCTCTTACTTGGCTCTCTAAAAGTACCCAGCTCCTCCCCTTACATTTCTGAATCATGATAAAGGGACTGTAAGCACAGGGCAGGTCCTATAGGTCACAACTGCATTTCCAAAGGCCTCACCTCCCCCACAACAATGGAAGGTGAAAGGTGGTATGGCCATAGATTCTCAGCATTATAGACCCTGGCTTGGGAAGAGCTTCCTATCAGTCAGCATCTGAGCCTGTGCCCTCAGAGTCCCAGAAATGGCCCTGGACCACAAGCAGCCTTTGGAAAAAACCCTGCACAAGCTGAGCATTGCCCTCTGGCACACGTGGGCTGGCTTTCTTGGTCTTGCCTGCCACAAGCTACTTCCTGAGCTAAGGGAATGCCCCTTTCTGAGAGATGACGCCTCCTAGCACTTGAATTTCTTTGTCTTATTTCACTTCCCAGTCCTGCTTCTAAAACAGTAAGTTCATGCAACAAATGTCTATTGAATACCCACTGTTCTTGAGCTAAAGAGAAGTATGAGGGGAGAGGAGGGACCTGGGAAGCTACCTAGGCCAGCCTTCTATCCCCAGCCATGGCTAGCCCATCTGAGGACATTCCTCCACTCTCTATAACCTATTGGATGTTACACAGGGATGTTCCCCAGAGGCCCCAGGCGAGGTGTGCCCCCTTGGCTTGCTTAACATATACCTTAACCACTTAGCTGGTGCTGACCTAAAGCAGGGTAGGAAACTAGAATAGCTTTTATCCCTGAGCAAATGGGAAGTAGAGCAAGGCTTTCAGATGGCAGAGTCAGCTGCATCCCCCTGGAGCAGGCTGGTGCTGGCTGATGCTCCCACTCCTCCCACCCCTTGCCCAGGTATAGCAGCCCACTTTCCCTGCTCCAGATTCTTTGCACTCTTATTGGTGGAGAAGCTACAGAACCTTCTTCCTGCCCTTCACAACTTGAGAGCTCCTGCTCCTTCTGAGCCAAGAGTTTAAATTGCTCCATCTTCTCTAAGCCACTTGGAATTTGGCTCAGGCCCCCCTACCTTTGCAGGGACCAGGTGTCCTGAGCACATTGGACACACCTCAGAGGGAGGATCTTTGTTGTGGGTTTCACACCTGCCTCTAGGCCCTGGGTGTGTGGCTTCATGACAGAGATGAAGTAATCAGGCTGAGCTTGTGAGCCTCCAGGGTTTGTGGAGATCTTCACCCATGGATGCTCTGACCTTCCTTCCATAGAGAGGCAGGCAGTGCCACCAGGGAGGAAAGGACTGCAAAGCTAAAATCTAGAGCACTGTTTCCTCCCCATCCTCCTTTCCATAGAGAATAGAGGCGTTTGTCTTGTCTGTCTTCAACCTATTTTTCTTTTTTATACTTCTCATATTATCTGTGCTGCCAAGAAAAATCCCAGAGGGCAGTCAGGAGTCTGAGTGACCATCCTGGCTCAGCCCCAATTCACCATGTGACGTCAGGCTAGTCCTATCCCCCTTTCTCTACTTTCAAAATGAGCAGTGTAAAGTATATGCTGTCCAGGGATTGTTCCAATCTGTCATCTTACAGATCTTTATTTTCTATCATTTTGCTTTCGTTGGATCTTTTCCATCTGAGGGTACAGGAAGTGCCAGGACCTGTTTCAGTTTTTGAATCCTGCAAGCACATTCCAAGACTGGCCTGAAATTGCATGAGCAACATCACTCTAATTTTTTTTTTTTTGAAAAGCACCTTACCAACCAACTGCGATGCTGTCCTGTTCCTTTTATCTCACCCCCCTCTCTCCTCTCTTGTCCCCACTCTCCCCCACCTCAGTGCTCCGTGCTGTATGCGTGTGCTCTCTGTTCTTGTATACTCAATAAAAGTGAAATAAATGTGTTTGATGCTGAACCACTGACTTCCTTGGCCTCCCTCTCTCCCTCCTCTGTCTCTCCCTCTTTCTGACTTTGGCTACTGGTACAAGTTGGTATAAAACTGGAGGGAGATCTCCCAACTTAGAACACTTTTACTCAACACATGTTTGGAGTTTTGCAATGAGGGCCAGGCCTTGACTTGGGCTCTACAGAGGCAGCAGCAAACAGGGAAAAGTCCTTCTTGTCCAGGCGCTCACTGGTCAGTGGAAGACACAGATTAATAAAACAGATGACCAATCAAAGACAAGTCAGAGTAATCAGCACCAGGAAGGAAATCACAGATGAAAGAATGGATGGTCACTGAAGGAGCTCACTCTAAACAAGGTGTTCTGGGCAGAGGCTGAAGCTCAGTGGTAGAACAGGTGCTTAGCATATGTGAGGCCCTGGGTTTGAACCTCAGCAGCCCCCTCATACACCAAAAAAAAAAAAAAAGCCAGTTAGGACCTTCCTGAGAAGGTGATTTTTTAACTGAATGAGGAGAAAGATCAAGTAAGGTGAAGAACTTGGGTGAGAACATTCTAGCAGGCAGGGGGAACAATAAGCATACGGCCCCAAGAACTAGAGGGACATTGTGTGTGGAGGAACAGCATGGTCTCTCCTCTTCCTGAAAGAAGAGCACATGCATTGGGATCTCTTCCTGCAACTTCCGCACCATGTGAGAGCCTAGTGGATAATGGGTACAGCAGTCCCCAATTCAGCCTTTGCCTGCAACCTTCGTATATGTTACCATATCCTCATATCACCCAGCCCATTATTGACTTACCTTTCTTTAAATTGACTCACTATGAAAAAAAATATTTTAAAAAGAAACATTACTATTGCTTCCATAAGTGAAGAAATTACTGTCATTTGCCAAAGAGTCTTCACAAAAATGAATGGAGAGAAATCAAAATTTAAAATCATAATCCATGTAAAACCTAAACTTATTTCTTGAGTCACCTAAGGTACACTTTGCATTTTATTCTATCAGGTGACTCACCTCAGGCCCCTTGCTATATTGGCCAATAGCTCACAAGTGAGTCTTTTTTTCCACATATGTGTTTTTCCAGTTGAACTCATTTTGTACATACCATTCTGAATACCTTAGAAAAGTTTTATCCTGAGAATTTCCCTATAATTTTGGATACTAAGTACTATTTCTTTTCTTTGTAAAGATAATTCATTAAATGAAACAAAGGTTCTGCAGTGAAAAATAATTCTTCAGCCTTCTCTCAATTCCTATCCATTGTTAAAGACAGTTGCTGTGAGGAGCTTTGTGAATCTTTCCCCAGAATTTTTCCCATAGGTTTTCTTTGACAATCTGTCATCACTGAGATTCTGCAATAGGACTTGGTTTGCCAACATTGGGTCCCCACCCATCTCAGGCCCCATACCCCCTGGATCTATAGAGCCAGCCTCTCCACTTCTTGAAATCTAGATTAGTGTTTCTCAGCTGGGATGAGGGGGGTGGTGGAGCTCTGTCTGGAGACATTTTTGTTGTCACAACTGAGGGGTGCTACTGGCATTCGAGGTTAGCGTCCAGAGTTGTTGCTAAACATCGTACAATATGTAGAACAGCTATCTACAGCAAAGAATTATTTGGCTCCAAATGTCAATTATGCCAAGGTTGGGAAGCCCTGATTTGGATGGATATTTCAAGTTACAGGGTGGAATTCCCCAGCCATCATGTACAGTTTCTATGTCCAGTGTTAAGTGTCTTAGAATCTCTGAGAAGATGGTGAGCCCACCTGTAACAAGGAGCTTTGAGGCCAGCCCAAGGAGATCAGCACCTAAGACTGGGAGTGGGGAGGGGAAGGCAGACAGATGAGCTTCTTCATGCAGGAAATGGAACTGATAGGATAGGCTGAGATTGACGTGTGTGACTGTGGAGGTTGCTTCTGGTTACCCATGCAGCATCCCACTGTGATTAACCATGACTGCAGCACCCAGCCTAGTGTGCAACCTCTTACCAGATGAATTGTGACTGAGACAGATTGGCATGTCCAGCTGTCACTGAGGAAGTGTGACAGACAAACTAAGGAGCAGCAGCACGGAGACAAGAGCAACCAGACTATGTTTTGCATCTTAACTCTGCCACTCTGGTTGTGTAACCCCTCTCAGAACCTCAGTTTTCTCACTTGTAGATTGGAAATGCTAAGGATTAATGTAAGGATTAGAAATAATATCCAAGTGACTTGCCCTATGAATGTTGGTGGTGTCTAGCTAGCTCTCACCATCACATAAACCAATTTCTTGCAACAAATTACTCAATATGTATCTCCTACCGGCTCTGCTTCTTTGGTGAAACTCTAATACAACCACCTAGCACAGGGATAGGCCCATTGGTAGAAGCTATTCACCAATATCATATTACTGTCATTATTAAGTACACAACATAGGTACTGAGATGGTTTTGTGCTAAGTTCCAGGGGAAACAGTGCAGAACAAGCCAGGCAAATTCCCAGTCGCAGTGTACATTGATAGCCTGACTGAGATAGCAAGGTAGGACTATAGGACTCTGGGTGACCAGCTTCAGAGGGACTGATGTGGTGGCTGCCACTGCTGCTGAGACTGGGTCTCTCTGGGTTGGGACCTGGGATTTTGAGGCTCTTGCCTAAGGCTGAGTGTGACTAGAACTTGGTGGTAATGGACCAGCTCTGACAGATCGAGATTGACTGAAGAGGACTATGACTGAGCATGACTGTGGCTATTGGGTAGTCACCACCTGGACCCATGCTTCAGTAACTAAGACTGCTTGAGACCAAAGGACCGTAGCTGGTGGATATTTTCTGGAAGGGGATATAGAATTCATCTTTAATGGAAGTTATTATCCACAATTCAGGCGGTAAAAGGAAAAACTAAGAGTAGCAAAATGCAACATTTGACCAAATGGAACCTGCAGGCACGGGCCTTTCCTCTCGCGACCGACGGCTCCGGGGGACCACTTTCTCAGTCGCTCCCATCCGGCGCCAAAGCGGCCGGACTTCCGGTGCGTTTCCGCGGTGGCCAAGCGTTGAGTGGGTAGGTGAGTGCAGCTTCTTTACCTTTTTGTCTTACCTGATTTCTTTGTGTGTGTGGCCAGGCTTCCCCTCTTTTCCACTCGGAATCTCATGGCCCTTGTCGCCGGAGTGGCCGCGTCTGGGTCTGTGGGCCGGTGGTGGTGGGAGACACTGTTGTCAGGGCATCCCGGGGCCCACGGGTTAATTCCCCGTACCCCCTAACTATGGAGCTCGGGAACCGAGACTTCAGCTGCATCCAACCAGGTTCTGCCCTCCTCTCTGCGTGACTTCGGGTAAGGTCACCTTCCGAAACGAGCCTTTGTTTCTTGTCTATAGAATGGATATTATATTTTGGCAAGTAAATATTTTTATTAAGCATCGCGTATGTGCTAGGGATCTAGGACTCAAGCCTCGTGGGGGTGACAGCCCTTGATTGTTAAACATAGGAAACTGTAGGCAGTCAGGTTAGTGTGCTGTAGAGTTCTGTGTATATTTCTCAGTCCCTGGTCTGTGCCACGCCATGTGTCCTGAAGAGAATTAAAGGATGGCAGAGTTAGAATGAAAGGAATACCATTATCACTCAGGTCATCCAGATGCCACAGGAAAGGTGGCTAATAGATTAGCAATTATTCCAAGTGGAATTTCTGTTTACTCAGCAGTATTAAGTATTTCCTGAATTTTAGGTTGTGGATGGGAAAAGGAAGATACAAATATTTCAAACGGCAGCTTTCAAACTCTTTAAATTGTGACCTACAGTAATAATTACATTTTATCATGACCAAGAGTACAGATAAGCACACAAAGTGTCACAAAATACTTAGGCTTACTACTTCTGATGTATTCTGATATTTTAAAAATTCGGTTCTCTTCATTTAGAAAACAATGCACATCAAAACCTTCTAAATTGATTTTTTAGCCCATTAATAGGTTGTGACTTGGAGTTTGAAAAAAAAATGCTGACTTAGAATGAGAGTCATTTGTAGTGGTTTTTGGGTACAGATAATAAAATACCTTTCTAACATTTTTGAAAAAGGATTGGTCTTTCTAACCTTTGGTGGGTTCTCTTTGTTTGTTTAAAATAAAGTAAACAGAGTTTAATAAACAGCTGTTTTTCTATTTGTGAAATTTTGGAGTCTTGTTTGTACCTCCAGCTAGATTGGAATTGCCTAGAAGGCAGTAACTCTCTTAATCTGTGGATGTTTCTTTTGGGGCCCAGCAAAGATCCTGGGACAATGCAGCACTCAGTGAATATTTGTCAAATTGAATCAGTAGGTGACTTAGGGCTAGAAGGTGAAATAATTGGTTAATTTTAGTTTGTGTTACAACTATGACACCAAGTGGTATTTTATAAACAACACCACAGAGGCATTGTCTGCCTACAGGTTTTATCAGTGTGTTGTCCTAGGAAGGTCAGAGGTTGGCAAAGTAAGTGTTCTAAGATTTTTCTCCTCCAAATACTTATCCTAGGACCAGCCCAGCCACCTGAATCCATTGTGGACCAATGGTCCAGAGCTGTCACTGATGGTAACTCTGGGACATTGTTTCACTCCTTGGAATATATTTAGTGCTATTGAGTGAAAGAGGAGGGAGGGCTGGGGATATAGCTTAGTGGTAGAGTACTTGTCTAGCATGCACAAGTTCCTGGGTTCCATCCCTAGCACTGAAGGAAAAAAAAAGTGTGGGTGGGTGGATGGGTTAGGGAGATTTGTGATTGAAAAGCTCTCCATTGCTGAAACTTTTTGTGAATTTTAGATGCTAATGGGAAATTGGGTACATACTTGATTAATTATCCTTTCCAAATCTTCTGGGACTTTCCAGCAACAGGTTGCAGGCAGAATTATGGTTTTCAGGTATTGTTTTGAATGAAGCATACAGGCTTTTCCATTTCATCCCCTGCTGTGAGAGAGGAATCTGAGCAGATCCTAAGATGACAATAGAAGGAACATTGGCCTGCAGTGCCAGGAACCCTGGTTTTAATTTGGTCCCTGTGTGACCTTGGGCATACTATTTTTCTATAATGGTGGCTTTCTAACTGTGAAGTAAATATTTTTGCTTTTTATTTTTATTTATTTATTTGGCAGTACTGGGGTTTAAACTCAGGGCCTCATGCTTGCTAGGCTAGCACTCTTGAGCCTCTCTACCAGCCCTAGTATTCTTGCTCTTTAAATCAAAATACAAAAGTTCTCTTCTCTCTGATCCTGATTTTATCTATAAAATAGGTATAGGGTTGTCATGAGGATTAAGGGAGATAATTATGTCAGGGGGTCTAATTCAATATCTGGCATGCAGAATGCTCAGCAAATGAAGCAACCTTCCCCAAGTTCTGATTAACTTTTTTGTTTTGTTCATTTGTTTTTACGATACTGGGGGTTGTACTCAGGGCCTTGTACTTTCTAGTCAGGCTCTACCACTTGAGCCACTCTACCAGCCCAGTTCTGGTTAACTCTTGTTTCTTCTTTTCTTCTTTTTTTTTTTCCAGCTGTTCTAGAAGGCCAGGAAGAGGGGTTCTCCTTTTGGAGAACCTAGGTCCATGGCTGCCATGCGTATGGATCCTGAGTTGGCCAAGCACCTCTTCTTTGAAGGGGCCATTGTAGTCATTCTGAACATGCCCAAGGGGACTGAGTTTGGCATTGACTACAACTCCTGGGAGGTGGGGCCCAAGTTTCGGGGCGTGAAGATGATCCCACCAGGCATCCACTTCCTCCACTATAGCTCTGTGGACAAATCCAATCCCAGGGAGGTGGGCCCTCGGATGGGCTTCTTCCTTAGCCTGCAGCAGCGGGGGCTGACTGTCCTGCACTGGAATGCAGTCCGGGAAGAAATAGACTTGTCGCCAGCTCCAGAAGCTGAAGTTGAAGCCATGAGGGCCAATCTCCCAGAGCTGGACCAGTTTCTGGGACCTTACCCATATGGCACACTCAAGAAATGGATCTCACTCACTAACTTCATCAGCGAAGCTACAATGGAGAAGCTCCAGCCTGAGAGCCGGCAGATCTGTGCCTTCTCAGATGTGCTACCTGTACTTTCCATGAAGCACACCAAGGACCGGCTAGAACAGAATCTCCCTCGCTGTGGCACTGAATGTAAAAGCTACCAAGAAGGCCTGGCCCGCCTGCCTGAGATGAAGCCCAGAGCCGGGACAGAGATCCGCTTCTCAGAGCTGCCCACACAGATGTTCCCAGCAGGTGCCACACCAGCAGAGATAACAAGGCACAGCATGGACCTGAGCTATGCCCTGGAGACTGTACTCAGCAAGCAGTTCCCCAGCAGCCCCCAGGATGTGCTTGGTAAGAAGGAACAAGGCTCTTTGGTAGTGGGCCAGGGGAAGGATGTTACTAAGGGTGTTTTAGAAGAGGGGATACATGTTGGATACATATTCCAGTGGTTCAGCCAGTATACTTATTAAGTATACAGATTATTTTTACCCCCTCCTTACCCCTAGAGGTTTTGAGTTAAGAGATCTGGAGTGGGGCTCCCACAGTTTGGCTGGCTGACTAATAATCAAGCATCCCAGGTGAGCCTGTACAGATAATCCTGTGTTTGGGAACCACTAACATGGTCCAGCCCTATAGAGGGAAAGGATTTAGCTGACCAAGTAGTCGAACTGAGAGACCAAGGCCCAGGGCTCCTGGTTCCTAGGCCAGACTGTGTTCCTAGCAGCCCACACCAGCCATCTCAGTTTACTCCTGAGTTTTTTTTTTTTTGTTTTTTTTTTTTGAGCTGTTCTACCTGCCCTGTTTCGTGCTGGGTGTTTTTGAGATATGGTCTTACAAACTATTTGCCTGGGCTGGCTTCAAATTGATATCCTCCTGAATAGCTAGGATTACAGGCATGAGCCACTGGTGGCCAGCTTGCTCCTGAGTTTCTTACAATGTTGGTCTCTATGGGCTTAGACCAGGACAGTGATTTTTATTTTAATTGTAACAGTTTTAATTGTTGCTTTCCCTCCTTATTATAAAATATATTCATCACAGAAGAAAAATAAAAATAAAAATTCACTCTGAATCCTATCACCTAGAAATAACCATTTTTACAATTTGGCATATTTATTTTTCTTTTTTCCCCTACATATTTCTATGTATTTTATTTTAATATTTTCTCTCTCTGTATATTTTTCATGTTTTACAAATTCAATTTTAGGTTTATATATGACTTTTATAAAAACAGGATTAAAGTATATTATTTTGCAGTGTGCTCTAATGTAAACATTTCCATGTCACTGAAATGGTCACCCCTTTTAGTGTCTGTTTAATTTTCCCTAGTTACTGAACCAATAACCATTCTTTAAGATGTTCCTGTTTTCCCTCTTACACATATAGTCTAATGAACATCTTTGCATGAATTTTGCATATATTAAGGGTTGGAATTGTTGGATTAGATTGTGCATGTTGCCAGACAGTTTTGCATCCTTACTGGCTGGTAGATGATTGTTGGCCCTCTGTTAACAGCATTGAGCCCTCTTAAATTGAGTGACTGAAAAATGGCATTTCTTTTCTATTTAATTTCTTTAATACTAGTGACAGCAAACATTTATCCCTCTTTAACAGCTATTTATATTTATTTTTACAAATTGTCCAGGTAATTTGTATAGTTTCCTGTTGGAAAACTGGTGAGGAATTTGGATATTTGGTTTTTTTTTATATCACTGGCTGATGATACAAGGGATGGGTACATCTTAATGCATTACTTTGTATTTTCATATAATAGGTAACACTTGAAATTCTGATTTAAAAATGAATAGGGGCTGGGGAATAGCTCAAGAGGCCCTGGATTCACCTGGTATTACAAGCAGAAAAAAAAAATTCCTATTTTCTATGTTTTAACTATTTAAAATGCATCTTGTAAAAAAGGTCTGTTATAGGGACAACTTTGAATCTACATGACAGCTCATTGAAATTATTTCTGGTATCATTATTTAATTTTAGACAAGGTCAGAAATGCTCAAATTTAAATGCAAAGAATAGGCTAATATTTAATTTCTCAAACTAGCAAGGTAAAACCAACTGGTGAAGTAAATCATTATCCAAAGAAAGTTTAACTGTATTTTGAAAACATTAGTTAAATGTCCAAAATATTTAGGCCAGATGACTATTCATACAAATCAGATGTAGTTCCACAAGCTTGGGAATAGGGAACTAGTTTTTCCAGGTCTCTGGAGGTGACAGATCAAACGCCATGTATTTAAGGAGGCATTTGGTGTTGTGCTAATCCTTTTTATAGCCCTTATGTATGTACATTTCATTAAATTTATAGGCCTTTTGAAGCCAGAGAGAATGTAGTCAATAGCATAGCTATGGCAGGCAGAACCCCAGTTGCTTGCCCATGAACAGTGGCTTCAGGACCAACAGGTCTCTTTGAAACAAGCATCCCATGCAATTGGGAATAGTAACTAATATTTTTTGAATGATGCTTATGCCAGGTATTATTCTAAATGCATTACATGCACTATATCAATTCATTTAATCTTCACTACAACTCTCAAGGAAATTAAGGCATAAATAGATTAAGTAACTTGCCCAAGGTCACACAGCTTCTGAGTGGTAGAGCTAAAATTTGAATCTAGGTAGGTTTGGCTCCAGAGCCCATGCTCTTAGCCACCAGGCTGCTCATAGAGATTAAATCACAGAGCCCTGTGATTAAATAAACAAAAATAAGCTGACTGGCAAGCTAGCCCTGGAATAAGAACTCATGAATTTTCCAGTTCTGGGAGGCTGTAGAAGTGTTCCTACCCAACAGGGAATTGTTTTATCTTTCCATTGTTCACATTGCACAGTATTAGATATGCACTCTTGGGCAAGTCCTTGACCTCATCTATAAAATGAAGACAATACTACCTTCCCTGTTTACATTGGGGAGTTGGGCTGAGGGTTATGTGGTTTCCCTGACCCTGAAGCAGGGTTACCTGCGGAGGTGTGTATCACCTGGGGAGCTTAGTAGAGTTACAGATCTTGAGGCTTGGGCAGCTTTTCTTTTAATGAGCTCTCCTAGTAATTCTGATGGGCAGCTAGGTTTAGGGTCTACCTTTTAAAATGCCAGGCAAGTCTCTTGCAGTCTGATTTTATGTAAGTCCAAAGCCACAGTTTGGTCTCCCGTAGCTTGAATTTATAGCAGATTAGTAAATATTTACTGAGCACCTGGTAGGTGCACAATCTATTCTGGGCTCTGTTGAGGTCCATTGGAACCAATGGCCTTGTGAATCATGTAGGACAGAGCCAGCTGAGACTCCTCACCCTCAAGGTCATTGCTCCTCTCTGCATCTTGCAGGTGAACTTCAGTTTGCCTTTGTGTGCTTCCTCCTGGGCAATGTGTATGAGGCATTTGAGCACTGGAAGCGGCTCTTGAACCTCCTGTGCCGCTCAGAAGCAGCCATGGTGAAGCACCACACCCTGTACATCAACCTCATCTCCATCCTGTATCACCAGCTGGGTGAGATACCTGCTGACTTCTTTGTGGACATTGTCTCCCAAGACAACTTCCTCACCAGCACCTTGCAGGTGAGCAATCTATTGGCTGATACTCAGTGTGGGTCAGAATGAAGGCAAGGTGTACAGGCACCCTTGGGTTTCATTTCTTTTCTTTTTTTGCAGTACTGAGGCTTGAACTCAGGTCCTACACCTTGAACCATTCCACCAGCCCTTTTTTGTGATGGGTTTTTTCAAGATAGGATCTTGAGAACTATTTGTCTGGACTGGCTTTGAACCACAATCCTCCTGATGTCTGCCTCCTGAGTAGTTAGGATTATAGGCATGAGCCACCAGTGCCTGGCAATCCTAGGTTTCTTGATTGCAGTTCCCTAATCTTGAGATGTTTCCTGGTTCTCTCTCTCCTCTGTTGAAAGCTCCTTTATGCTAAAGAGCCTTTCTCTGGTGCACCCTCTCCTCACCTAGCCCTCCAGGGGGCTTAGTACTAGAGTACTCGGAATTTGATTCCTTTCTACTCCTTTGGGTTACTCTGCTGTATTTTTAGATTTTCATTACAAGGAAATAACTGATGCAGGTTTCACAATTTTGGAGACTGAAAGTCCAAGATCAGGTGGCCACATTGGTTTGGTGTCTGGTGAGGGCTCAGCAGCAGAAGGTATGATGGGAGCACATGCAGGAGAAAGAGATCACATCCAGACAGGAAGCCAGAGAGTCCATGGCTAGCCTTGTTCATGAATACACCCCTTTCTCAAGAACTGAGAGATCCTGTGAGAACTACAGTCTCCTAGTTTTTCCTAGGGTACTACCAAAATATCTAAGGACCACCTGCCAGCCCCTACCTCTTAACATAGCTACACTGGGGACTAAGCTTCCAACACATGAACACTTGGTGGCTAAACCATATCCAAACCAGTGCATCAGCTCAAAACAGTTTTTCTCTCTCCCAGTAGCCATGAGTTGCTGCAATGCAATAGGGCAGAGTTTTGAAGCTTGTTACTCCCAGTGAAACATCTGCAGCTACTTAGATCTCATTTAAGCATTAAAGTAACTTTGATTTCCTGTTCAAACAAAATGTGCCAGTTTCTGTAGAGATTCTCTGACAGAAAAAGTAAAATTTGCTTTTAACTTGGCAATTAAATTTTCATTATGAGTGGTAATTAGGGAAGAAGCTTCAAACAACTTAGAATCTTCATCCTGTGCTATTTCCTCTCTTTGCAAACAGATTAGTTTCCTTTATGTACTTGGGACAGCCTCTGTCACTCACATTTTGTAACTTTCTCAAGTGTAGAAGAGACAGAAGCGGCTGTCAGTTTCCATACTTTTTCTCCCACAAGTTGCTTTCTTCTTCCTGTGTGTGAGACCCCCTGAGGCCTGCTCCATGAAGCCATGGAAAAGGAACATGCTAGCATTCACTAAATGCCTATTGGGTATCAGGCACCTTGTTTATTGAGTTTATGAGTTCCCTCATTTAATCTCAGTAGAACCCTGTTATTCCCATTTTACAAATGAAAAAACAGACTCGGAAAGTTGAACGTTTGCTTAAGCTCAAGCAGCCAGTAAATGGAAGTCAGGATTTGTAGACAGCTTTGAGACTTGGTTTAATGCTTGTGCTTATGCCCCAAAGTACTGAATACAGTGAAGATCTCCCAGGAAGGACTCCTGATGGACATTAGTGGAGACACCATTAGGGACCTGTTTCTCAGAGGTCTCAGAACACTTTTCTAAAACCACCCCACTACCTATTCCATGAGTAGGCAGCTAACTGGAAACTCTGGCCCTAGGAGGACTTTGCAGACCATAGGGATGAGTTCATCAGCTGATGGCTTGAGCCTGGCATATTCCACTTCAGAAGAATTATATAAGCCAGGCACTGGTGGGTCATGCCTAAAATCCTAGCTACTTGGAAGGCTGCAATCAGGAAGATTGCTGTTCAAGGCTAACCCAGGCAAATAATTTAGGAGACCCCATCTCTAAAATAATCAGAGCACAATGGACTGGAGGTGTGGCTTAAGTGGTATTGTGCCTGCTTTGCAAATGCAAAGCCCTGAATTCAAACACCAGTCCCACCCAAAACAAAGAATTCTAAAACTGCCCTTTTATTGGTTCTTGATGGAATAGAGAAGTGAAGCCTGATTAGTCTTCCTCTGTAGGAACCCTCCCCCAGATTTACTGTTTGTGGATTATATGGCAGCATGAGGACGCATCAGCCTGCTAACTTGTCTCTATTAGTGGCTGCAGTTTTAGGGAGTGGTATGTTATCCTTACAATGGAAGTTGATACTTTCACACAAACACGGAAGGTCCACCGTGTCGCTGGCTGTTCTGGCCATTGTCAGCACAGTCAGTAGCTGAGCACTCCTTGCTGAGGCTTTGTTGCCAGCAATGATTTGCAAAGCAGACAGCGCCCAGGTAGAGTGCTAGATAACCAGGCTAATGGTTGGAAAAATTCTCTTTGGACTTTTCAACAAGAAAATTTGATGTCTGAGCTGGGGGCATGGCTTAAATGGTAGAGCACTTGTCTAGCAAGCGCAAGGCCCTGAGTTCAATCCCCAGTACTGACAAAAAAAAAAGAGAAAAGAAAATTTCATGTCATTGTTTGGAAAAATTCAGGACGCCTGCCTTTAAAAATACATAAAAAAAAATGTTGTTGAACATCCTGTATATACAACATTCTACTAAAAGTGTTGAAGAGTACATCCAGAGTTAGCAGAGTCCCTGTCTTCAAGGGACGTGCTCACTGAGCACCTGTCCTATACAAGGCTGTGTTCTAGAAGTGGACATGTAACTGTGAGCAACACAGGCAGAGTCCCTGACAGTGGGAAAGTGAACAAATGAACTAACCAAATAACTCCAGATAGCCATAAGTGTTTTAGAAGGCAGTCCTGCCCCAGTGCCATTGCCTAACCCTGGCCTTTTGTTTTCCCCTAGGTTGCATTAGAGTTTATTAGCCTCCATGCTTACCCCATTAGCCCATCTGTCTCCCACATTGCCAACCTGACTTGCTTCAAAATGCAACTCAGATCCTGGTTCTCTCTGCATCCTCATTGCCTGGGGCTTGGGGGTGGGGAGAAACCCAAACATTGGTCCAAGGCCCATTCTGAACTGGTTCTTACCCTGTTCTCCACTTTCTGGTCTCCACTGTCTGGCTTTCCAGGGTCCCAGACAGGCCATGCTACTTCATGCTGCCTTGGTTTTTTTTTTAAGAGACAGGCTCTCACTACATTACCCAGCTTGACCTCGACCTTCTTGACTCAAGTGATCCTCCTACCTTAGCATCCTAATTAGCTGGGACTGTAGGGACACGCCATTTGTGCTCAGTAGTCCTTTCTTTTTTAATTGTAAAAAACACGTAACTTGAGATTTCCCCTCTTAGCAGATTTTGAAATGTTCAGTACAGTATTGTTAACTATAAGCATAATGTTATGCAGAAGATCTTTGGTACCTTTTCATTATGTGTGACTGAAACTTTATGCCGTTTCATCCTTCTGTATTGAACCTGATTTTCCCTCTGCCTTCTGTGTTCTTGTTTATCCTACAACATGCCATCCAGGCATCTCTCTCTCTCTCTCTCTCTCTCTCTCTCTCTCTCTCTCTCTCTCTCTGTGTCTCTGTCTCTCTCTCTCTCTCCCTCCCTTCCTCCCTCCCTCCTTCTTTCCTTTCCATATCTTTTTTTGGCAGTACTGGGTTTGAACTCAGAACCTAGCACTTGCCAGGCAGGTGCTCTACACTTGAACTGTACCCCCAACCCTTTTTGCTTTAGTTACCTTCTGAATAAGGTCTTGCTTTATGCATGGGCTGGACTAGACCACAATCCTCCTATCTGTGCTTCCCTCATAGCTAGAATGATAAGTCCAACTTTTATTGGTTGGGATGGGGTCTCACTAACTTTTTGTACAGAGTGACCTCAAACTATGATCTTCCTGATCTCTGCCTCCTGAGTAGCTAGGATTACAGGTGTGAGCCATGACACCCAGCTCTTTTCCATACTCTTAGCTGTTTTGTACTTGCCACTAATATATTGCATGGGTTGTACTTCTAAAGTTAATATAGTGTCTGCCTGATTCCTGCACTAAGCTCTTTTTACACAAGGCCAATTTTTTGTTCATTTGGACAAGGATATAACAAAGCTTTTTTTTTTTTTTTAATGGAGAGCCACATAGATGCCATCTTGGCAGTAAGAATCCATTCCCCCACACCAAGGCACTCATACAGGGTATTTGTGACTGAATGAATCAACCCATAAAAGCTTCTTCAGCTTGCTCTCTGCTCTCGCCCCAGGTAGTCAAGTAAGTGGAGCTGGCTTCCTTGCTTAGAAGTGAAAATGGCTACTGCCCACGGGGAGAGACTGGTGTTTGTATGTGTAAGCACTTAAAAGATATCAAAGACAGCTGTATTAGCATGGATAAAATCAGCCCTGTAATGGCCTCAGCCATTAGTTTGGTTTTTTTTTTCAACTTTCTCATATGAGGCACTTCTGAATGGATGCCACTGGTTTTTATAAATCCTTTGGCTATAGCTTGAATAAAAATTGCTTATTTTATAAAATTAGATATAGTTTTTTCTTTTATTTAAGGTAACTTAAGTCACCATAGTTTATTTAAAACCAATGAAAGCATAATCTGAATTTAATACTGTGTTAGAGTTATGTACAAAATAAAGATTATCATTGCTGCTTGCATATCATTAATGTGTAGTCACATACTCTGGTTTTTAGGCCATAGATGCCTTCTAGCTTGTCTTGTCAGTATTCTGGATGCCAGTGCCCACTCCTCTTTTTTTTTTTTAAATGACCCAAACATTGTATGCACATATGACCACTTCTAACTCTTAAGGAAAACATTGACTGACAATTATAACACGAACTATGACAAATTTATCTACCTACTCTACTTCCTGCCATCAGCTGTCACTTTTATATGTTCAGTGTGAACTGTCTCATTTAGACTTCAAAACAGTGTGAGAAGCTGGGTATATAATCCCATTGTGCAAGATGAGGAAGCAGGCTCAGAGAAGTTCCATTATTTTGTCCATGACCACAGAACTAGACTGGATGCAAGGCTGAATTTTGGATTC